GACAACGATAAATTACAAGTTCTTACTTTTGGTTGATATCATTAATTTCTTTAGGATTTTGACTGGATATTATATTTTTACCAGCGATTGTATTTTTAACAGTTGACGGCTGTTTTGAATATTTGGAAATTTTTACCGAGTAACGAGAATTTTCTTTATAAATGAAAATAGTTTATCATTAACAACAACCATGGATCTAATATATATGCACGATCTTACCACCAAAAAATGTATGTATATTTACAGGTATGCTTGCGGTATATTTATGTACATCAGCGTTCCCGACAGGTATATTATGTATGCTAAATAAGGAACACAGGTGGTTGATTATTGACGGAGGGCCTTTTACCAAATCAACCATATAGGAATGAAATCCGTATGGCCTATAAAATATTAAATTACTAACAATTATATAATAGTTATTTTAATTATTACTTTAATTGTAAAAGAGACACATTTGGCGTATAGTGACACTTAGTTGCTGGTTCCGAGAAGCATAAATTAATTTTCAAATTTAATTTCGTATTTAGGTCATTCACCAGAAGTGAAAAGTCATCAATGTCTTCAACAGTAAATGCACACAAATCACGTATAGGTATTATGTTTTCAAAATATTTAACATTATTCGGGTCAGAGATATTAATCTAATTATTATAAAAAATGTAATAAAATTTATATTATTATTAATTTTATTAATTACCTCCATTAAAATGGGGGAAAAAACATTTCCTTTAAACAAATTCTTATTTTGTTTAATCCAATTATTTGCCTTAAGCACATCTGGATAATTGGTTCTGAAAAACTAATGCAAACATTGAGAAAGTTTACTACAAAAAATTTTTTCCGATGAAATTACCTCTTCATATTTTTTAATTTTATCTTTATAATTATTCATTGTGTGTTGTATTTGTTGTTTCATTGGAATAAGATCTTCTTCAATTTCTTTTGATATAACTGATCGCTCCTGCACTAAAGATTTGAGTGTAGACTCTAGTTTTTCTTTTTTGGAACAAATAGCGGCCATAGAACTATCAAGCGTCTCTATTTCGGCTTCCATTCTTTTATAATCTGTGCAGTTCATTTTATAAAGATCTTTTGCTTTTTGAAGTTGCTTTTGCTTTTGCTGAATTCCTTCAACTTTTTGCTATACAATTTATTTAAATTAAAAAATTATTAAAATAATTCGTAATGTTCGTTTTGACGAAAGAAACTAAATTTTAAATTTAAACTATTGTTATCAATTGAATGGTATATTATAATTTCGTTCTAATATAAAACAGCAAGTGAATTTATTAATTATTTTCACAGAACTATTTAACAACTACAAGTTCGAATATACAAATCAAGTACGGTTTCGGGTCAGTTGACTAATGAACACTGACTCTGAGCTTCAAATTTAGCAGGGTACGAGTTCAACCATTGGTACTTGCAGTCTGAAAAAATTATTAACGCCTATATAATATAAGAATTCTAATAATTTCAATACCACTGACCATGGGTTTTTGACAATACTTGTAATAGCTCCATAGGTTAGGTTAAGTTGGAGTGGCGGCCTTGTGTACCAAGTAAGCCAACTTGAGCTCAAATAATGGCCCGTTGTGTACCATAGGAATATAGCTGATTTGTACATAGACAACATGATCAGAATGCTACCAACGAAGAAAAAAGGCAACGACTCCCCTATTGGGTAAAGGTAAACCAACCCGACAGTTCTATGAATCTGGCTACGTTCTTAATATTGCAGAATGACAGTTCAGTCAGATCGGTCAAAAAATTAGGCCCCCAGGATTTTTGTTCTTCTCGTAGCTAAAGATGGGCACTGACACATGAGATGAAACATAGTTTCCTTCTTGTCTTTACAGCCACAACCACGACAAAGGTCAACATAAGGAAGACCTAGCCTCATAGCATACCTCCCTATTAAGAAGTAATCCGTGAGCATTGATACCATAGTGCGGAGCAGATTCCGCTTTAGTTAAAGTAGCTGACTAGTACTTTTTTTGTCCAATGTAATAAAATTTAATAAAATTTTATATGTTGTTTATAATTAAAATTTTATTTACTACTGTTCAAAATACCATTCTATTAAAAAATTATACAAAAAATATCCAATATAGCGAAAACTAAATTCAATAAATAAAAAAATCTGTCGTTGACTATTTTATATAACTAGTGATTCAATGATATTAAAAAGACTAAAGAAAAATCCCACAGAGTTAGAAAGGAAATCCTTTGCTAAAATAAGATCTAAAATGTTCCACAAAACCGCTGTGGACCATTTATAGTGAGCTATAGGAAAGACCTACTGAATGAAGTAGATAAGAAATCTATAAAGAATTTCAACAAACAGACAAATTAAATTTTTCCTTCTTTTTTTTTTTTAAAAACAAGAATTGTAATACTGAAAATCATTTCTTTCTAGCGTCTTAATCAATTTCTTAAAATATATATATTTAATATATACATTTATAGAAAAAAAAGGGTTGGCTAATTAGGTGCTTCCACTTAAATAAAAAAAATAAAAAAAAAAATTTTTATTCTGTTCAAGTTAAAACTCATTTAACTTGATTTAAGAGGATTTGATCACATCACTTTCCGAAGATTAAATCGCGCAAGTGGTCATCCTTTGCTACTTCTTGGCGAATTTTGCCCTTCTGTTCATCCAGAGCCTTCGGCTTGTTGACATAATTGTTTGACTTTTAATAGTCTCAAAGAAAAAAGTCTTTTCGTTAGAAATCAGGCAAATGCGGATAAAATTATAATTTTTTGATATTAATCGGATCGGATAATAATGACTTCAAAAAAATGATTGTAGCACGAATGGTAGGTGATGGTGTGCCTTCTTGTTGAAACCAAAAGTGGACGGATCATACCTCGATAACGCACCTGGTGGACGGATGTTACTTTATCACTGAAGTTTTTGAAAAAGTATGGTTTTATGAATATGTAGCTGTCGATATTCTCGATAATCACAGTAAACTGGATTATAATTTAAATATATTGACAACACAAAACTTGTAAAAATTTAGAAAAAAAATTATATTCGAAGAAGAAGTTTCAGTTTTCTGATTAAGAAAATAAGCAGAACACAATAAATAATTTTATAATTTAGATATAGCCTCTGTGTTTTCAAATACGTTCAAATACAGAAACCCGCTATAAATATATAAGCACAAATTCCGCACAATATTGTCACTTTTTGACAGTAAAGAGGTGCTTTTTAGTGATTGGAGGTTTTTCCATTTTTAAAATAAAATGCGCCTTATTATTTATAATGATTATTTGCCAAAAATGAACTTTAGCGTATTCGACTGGTGTGTGCTGTCTTTACAAATACGTGCTATCGTTAGTTATTATTACCTTCCTTGTCAAAGTTATATTATTATCAGATGAGTTCATCTAATATCATCTAATATTATTGACATTAAAAAAATATTTAAAAAAATTGCTCAAGCAGTTCGAATTCACTAAATTCCGATTATTTCGATCCAACACTGCTTAAACACAAACAAGATATTCGATTATTTCCGAAAAGCTTGCTATCGTAACAAGCATACACGAACATAAAAAAGCTCGCAGCTTTAAACAATTCGAATAATATTTAAAGTATTAATATAAAATAATAAAAACAAACCTTATAATCATATTTTGCTCTAGTAATATTATTATTAGCTTCATCTATTTGCTGAAAACACATTTCTATTTCCTCGTCGAATTTCTGTTCTTCTAAATTCTGAAAATATAAAGGACATTTTAGTATCAATTACAAGCATTTTAAATTATTTATACGTACCGCTTTTTGGACTTCAGCTGAGAGTTGTTCAGTTTGATTCTTAATTTTGTTCTTTTTTGACATCATAGATTTTACCAATGCTGTATATTTATTTAATACTTTAGTAGCTTCATTTAAGTCTTTTTTATAAGATTTTATTTCAGTTTCTTTAACGCTTTTTTCTAAATTTACTATTTTTAGATTGCATAGGCCGATTTTATCACATATATTATTACGTAGTTTATAGGAATTTATGATTGCTTTTAGGCTGTAATGTAAAAATGCAAATTAAGTACAAATAAAATACATTTTATTATTATTAAGCATTTGTAATTTGAAAACGGTTTTGAAAACTACAATAACTACTAAGACGGAAATATATGGAAGATGGACAACGTAGAAGGAAGTATTGTAAGGGGGGTGTAGAGAAGCAAAAGTATTGAACTAGAGACGGTTGATATTACCCTAATGGTGAAGAGCGAAAAATCAATAAAACTTAAATTTGAGTTAAAAATATAAACAAATGAGCAATACCACAAGGAGTGAAATTTCATTTAGAATATACGATTGTTTTTTTTCCCTAAACATATAAAATGAAGGCTGTAGAAAGTTGAAAGTGTGGTCTTAAAAAGTAATCGTCTCGTTATATATAACATCTAATAGTTATCAATACTTAACAAGATTGTTTTGATCTCAGTTGCAGTAGGTATTAACGTATTCTTGATACGAGGAAATGGTACTATTTGAATGTCCACGTGTGGCACATAAGAATATATTGCAAAGTCATCTTGACAAAAGACACTTTAAAAGAGTAAAGCAGTTTCAATTGGTTTCAGTAATAAATTTTAATTATTTAATTTAATGCATACAAATAAAAAAATATGAAAAAATTAAGCCACACATAGTTTTTTTAATTTTTAAAATTATTTAATACAAATTATTAATAATGTTGCACACATACATACACAAATATAATAGTAACATATTAGTCTTGATATACTAGGAGAGGTTAGGTCTACGACCAGGAAACATTTGTTCCTGACGACTAATTATCGCTGACACTTGCTTATCAAGGACCCGAAAATTAAGTACTTTGTTAGAGGTCACAACAACACTTATATACCAAAAACGGAGTGAAGTAAATTAAGTCTTTAAGCTGAAATAAAAATTTTTCCTTTTCTTTATAATTTCAATTAAATTTTATATTTAAAAATAGAAACTATCGGTGATTTAGGGGATTAACATATTGGCTAACAAACTAGAATGATGTTTCGTTGAGCTTTACGTTAGATGTAGGTTTTCATTGTAATCTTATTTAAGTAGAGGAAGTCTAAGACCAAGATACATGGTGTGAGCAATAATGAAACTAATACTAAATCTAGAATAGACTCGATAAAAATTATCAAGCGTTAACACAGAATAAAGTTAATTGGAAACTCCCCACCGATCAACTGTGTGAATGAGTATATAAACTCCGCGGGTTACAACAACAACAATTATGTTTATAATATCTTTAAATTATAAATAAATGTTTTCAACTATAATTATAGTAATAAATAAATAAAACATATGTAATAATATAAAACGTTCCGTGAAACTTAACTGTGAAATATGGGTGTATATCTTTTTAGAGTAATTCTTTACTTACTCGTTTAATCTGTTTTCAGATTCCAGTAATTTTTTCTTCCAACTTGTTATATCTTTAACACCATTTACTTGTTGTTTTCTTAATGTGATCAGAGTAGTAAGATCTAGACTTACTTGTTCAGAGCAGACAGACTTTAATGTGTTTAATAGCATATCATGACTGGACATACGCGCAAATTCCTACAATTCCATATTATATAATATTTAATTATTTTTATATATATTTTAAAATTTTATGTAAATACATACTTGAACACGGTCTTGTGGTAAAAATTGACATAGGTTGCTTATTTGAATATTGAAACTATTCACTTCTTTTAAATATGCTGCCTTAGTTACCAAAGTGTCATTTATTCTATATTCAGAGACGCATTCTATATTGAAGTTTCGTTGAAATTTGACGTATTCGTTATTGTTTTTACCATTAATTTTAACACAAACGTAAGCAGCCGACGATCCGCTGCGAACATATGTACTAAGATCATTATTACGTCCCAGTAATTTTGGCTCTCCGCCGAATACAAGAACGATTGCTGAAACAATTGATGATTTGCCTGTTCCATTTGGTCCAATAATTAAATTTAAATACGGTTCTGCATTAAATTTAAATTTTTTGTAAGTTCTAAAATATTTAAAAATATAATAATATAAGTTACATATATTATATATAATAATATCAAATAAGTTTTATTTTTTTCAATAGTAAAACTAAAATCGCAAGATCCATCGTACGTTTTATACATTGTACAACGTAGAACATTCCTTAAAAAAATTTAGAAATATGTTCTAGTCTTTGTACAAAAAAATTTTATGGTTGGAGGAAATTTAAAGGTTTTAATCTTTGATTTTTGGATGCCCGTATTAGCTCTACGTTCTGGAATCACTTGTCAAAACAGATGATTCAATGCCCTTGACCATGCCTAACAGGCACAATGCCCACAAGTCTACACTAGTTCTAACAACTACAACCTATGTGGTTTGTATTATTAGTATTTTGAATAATTATCTACAAATTGTTTATTAAATGCACGAGTTTATTAAAAATACTACCATTTGTCAAATAATCTTATAGTAAGGAAACGTTGAAAGAGGAAATATTTGTAGATGCCATCGTTGACTGCTTGTTACTAAAGAATGCCTTTGCCTAACTAAAGATGGCGTTCAAGTTTAAGTAGGTATTTGTTAATGCCATGGTGCCATAAAGTAAATTAAGATTTTTTTTCTGGTAATAAACATAAATTTTGAATAATACAAATTTAATATAGATCAGGAAGTTTAACACCAGCTTCATTACCCTCAACGGCTGATGTGATGACTTTTTCTAACTGAAATAATAACTTGCAATGCTTCTGTGCGACTCGTCTGTACCGCAGATGATCACTACAAAAATGGCGTTTATATTTAATATGATAATGACTTGTAAATTTTGATTTGCGGTGAGATATTCTACGTTTGTGTAATAAGTATTCTGATACAAATAATTTACTATGGTTATCCTCTGTACAAATATATTATGTTAAGCAAATTTAAGCTAAGTTAGGAGTATTCTGTGTAATCTAAAATAATTGTTTGTACATTATCCGCCCCTTCAAATTTAAGAAACAATTATTTTAATTTTAAATTGTTTGTACTTACAAAAAGTTTTCCACTAAAATTTCACAGATTTTTCCAGCGTTGACGTTAGGGATTTTCGGCAAACGTTTGCTATTTCGCTTTGACATTTTCCTTATTTTAATAACAATATTCCTAAAGTAAAATTTCTAGAAATGCATCTGAAATGCAATAAAATATATTAATTGCGCGGTTGTTTACAAAACAGGCCAACAATTGAATGTGATTAAATCACAATAGTGCTAAATAAGAAAGCTACACAGAGTTGTATTTTGGAATTTTTGTTGTTGTATTGTGCAAACAGCACTTTTAAAAGAATGATCATTCTAAGCAGTAGCGAAAAGAAATTGACAAATTATACATATTATAGGATTTTCTTTTAATTTTTTAATTTTCATTAAATCTTATATAAAAACATTTTTCTTAATTGCAAAGAATTATTTATTATCAAAATTTCAAAATTAAACTTTATTACGTGTTTTGTACATATAAATCGATCAAAATTTCCATTTTGTCTAGATTTGCCATAAAAAGTAGTGCTTATTTTGTTCTTTTACGACATGCTTACAACAGAAAAGGCTTATTGTTGCAATCTGTTAAGTGTTATGTTTTACAAATAGCAAATCTAGCATATGTGCACATAATGCAAGCAAATTACATTTTGAAAAAAATAAATAATTATTATAAATTGAAAATTAAAACAAACACAGAATTAAAAGGAATTGTAAAAATGTTAGAAATTTCAAAATAAAACAATACAATTTTTTCTTTTTCCCCAATTTTCAAATTTATGAAATATTTGAAAATGTTTGAATTTTTGTTTACACATGACTTTTGACATATTATTGCAATATTCGTTAGAGTTTCCAATAACGGTTTACAATAGTTAGCTTATTGTGTTGGTAACATTTCTTTATTTACTAGACTAAATGTGTGACCAGTTTACAACTACTGGCCTAGATAAAGAAAATAGTGTTGTTGTTTTGCGTACATTTCGGCCAGTATATGTCAGTAACTTACTGTTTTCTGCCATACTTGCGAGTCACTGAAAACGCCTTTACTTGTTTTGTTTTCTTATATACAGAAAGTATGTTAAAAATTCAGAATGTGTTAAATGGAAATAATAAATATAAAAAGCACACAATTATTTTTATTCTATCTATGTATACAGTTTTTTTAATATCTTAATATAATTTACCTTTCCCTTTGCAATATTTTAATACAATTCTTTAATTGATTTTATATACCAGCCCTGTTTGACACAGCAATGTTGCCAACTTGGCTCTGGCATACACTTTGACAGATGTGCATTCAATCTGTCATATATTCTCAGAAATAAACAAGTGGGCAACCACAGACAAAATTTAACAATTTTTTTAAGTTAAATATGTTAAACGGTAATAGCCCTGGCATGGAAGTGTTAAATGTATCACATTCTAATGTAGTAGGTGAAATTGTCTTAAATGATCTAAAGTTGTTGGAAATAATACAACATTATCCATTTATTTTTAACCCGAACGTGCAGGGTTATGAGGATCCTGATTATATGGAATGGGCCTGGCAGTGTATTACAATTAAATTTAATAACACCTACAAGCATATCGAGAAGCCTTGTCCTATACATTTTAGTGCTGATGAGTTAAGAAATCGTTGGCAAGTACTTAAAAATATTTGTAAAGCATTAAGTAAGTCATATGACTTGACTGCCCTTCCCACACCTCTTCGGGAGCTCATAGCATATATATGTGACAAATTAGATTCTAATGTGATAACACCAAAGAAAACACTCACGGAAGTCCAAAAATGCATATTGCAAAATACCGAATTATTGGAGAGTTTACCTAAGCCAGTGCAAAAAGCAGTGGAAGCTGAACTTCTTGAAATTATATTAACAGCTGAGCTAAACGCAAAAGGAACTGTTGCTCTTACACCAAATAAACTGGAAAACATCGATAAAGAATGTGATGAATTTATGAGAGGAATACAATTTCATCAGTTGTATTGTATGGCAAAAAATGAAGAAGCTGGTATTGTCGAAGACACTCAACCAAATAGTGACCGATTCATACCAATCTCTGAAGCTAGCAAATATGTACGAAATTTTGAAATCCGTATGAAAAAATCTAATTTAGAGGATTACCTTCCATTATCAGCAATTAAAAGAGAATGTAACAAGTAATTAGTGTAGGTTTATTTTAACCACTGATTAATTATTTTAAAATTTATTAATAATTTTTGTGAATTGTTGAAATAGAAAAATCAACAAACCATACGTTAAGCTATATTATTTCCATTTAATGTAAGATTGTAAATATAAGATAAAAGCGAATAATAATAAATTTATGATACAAGAACTGGTAAAAAAGTAATATAAATTTTAAATTGTTACTAATGTATTGCAACTCCTTCAGGGATCAAATCTTGACGATTGCGATGCCTCTATAGCCTAAATTGCTTAACGTTTATAGTTGCCTGTTGGAGATAATAAGCGACACTTTGAATCTTGGAGGATGCTTTTTTGTAAGTAAAGATTTTGGGTTTTTTGGTACATAAAACTATTCGAGATTAAAAATCTAATATTGTATGTGTTTTTTTACTGAGAACTTCACACAAATTCAGAATTTTATTAATTGGTTTAATTATTTAATTCATTAAAAATAATGAATTCTAAACGTGTAATTGGCAATCATTCTTATTATAAGTTCATAGTTTTATAATTATTTTTTTCTTCAATGTTTTATTCAAACCAACTGTTGTTTAACAATAAAGTTCTCAACCATCTGAAATCATAGCGCAGAAAAGACGTATTAGTCGCGCAGCAAACAGTATTTATAGCACAGTGCACAAAATTATAATTGTGATTTATGTAAAAATAACCCATAGTCATTGGCTATAAATTTTGTCCATGGATGAAGTTTTAGGCATACGTTGTTTCAGTTATTGTTTCAATTCAAGCCATTGGTTAAGTTAATTTTATATATTAATTAGTAGAGAAGTTTCGAACAGAAGTGAGCTACAACAACAAAAATTATTTTTATATTATTATTAAATATTGTTACAGATACCCATCATCAGTGGTTTTTGAATTATTTCTTGTATTTAATTATTCGTAAATAATTTTTTTGAGACTGCAAATACCAGGGATTGAACTCGTGCCCTGCCAAATTTGAAGCTCAGAGTCAGCGCTCCTTAACCAATTGACCTAAAGCCCTACTTGACTTTTATGTTCGTACATTTTTCTGAATTTTTTTTTAATTTGCTGTGAAAGTTTTATTCACAAATTCACTTGCTGGGTTTATATTAGAACGAAATCATATATGTGTATATAAATTATTAATTATATTATTAATAATACATATATTAATTAAGTTATATGATATACGGAATCCATTATTTTTAATTTTAATCGTCATAGACAATTGCAATGTTATTAATGCAGTTGTTGGATATCACTAGGAATGTGGGTACTGTTCTCATGGTTACAGTCAATACCAGTCCTACTGAGTAAAATATATATATATGTGCATAAGTAAGTATGTAAGTAAGATATATGTGCATAATGAGTCGTATTTGAATCTTAATAGAATTCACTTGAAATCTTAAGTCTGCCTTTATTAATGTTTTATATTTATACTATATATTATTTTTTAATTTTTTATCAGTCCTTACCATCATAAATGTATACTGCATTTTTCGTAAGAGTTTTTTCAGTTTTTAAATCCACATTTTAATACAAAAATCTTATATTTACTTAAATCGTAAAGGTGAACCTATTAAGTATCACCACTGTCACCAATGAATATAGCTTTCTGATTAATCTTTAAATCTCCAAATCTTTATTTAATATTTTCCATAAACTGTGAAGCGAAACGTTTAGCAAGTTTCGCAATTTTCAGTGATCATTTAATAAAGTTTCATTTAGTTTTTAGCAGCCCCCAATTTTTTACCTCATTATTTCTA